TCTGCCGGATTCACCGATGCTGCCGCCGCGCGCGCGCGCACACTCCGAGACCCTCGCGACACGGGCTGGATTCGCCATTCGCCTCCCGCGGCGCTTGATGCATCCATGTCCTGCGCGTCGGTGGCCACACCCATAGTTGTCCAATCGGCCGTCGGCGCCGACGCTGGCTTCACTACGCCTGCCTGTTCTCTTTCTGCCCTGGCTGACACGAGAGGCGTCGGTGGCAACACCGCAGCGGCCATCGCACCGCGTACATGTCTCCTGACTTCGCTTTCGCGCGCGCCGCCACTGGGCTAAACCAATGTGTCCGTCTCTGAACAGGTGCGGGTCGTAGAAAACCGTACTGGGCGGACGTCGCAGCGTCAGGTTTTTGATCGGTCTCACATTCGCTCTCCTACTCGGGAGGCCCGCGGCAACCCCTCTCGACGATGCTCACGGCACTGCGCACAGCAGCGAAATATTGTAGCGCATCCCTCGCCCACTGCCAGGGACCTGGCAGAGCTTCGAGACCAGGTTGAAACTCACACGGCCCAACAGCTGTCGGGTGTGGCCGCACAGACGGCCACCATCAGACAAGAGCTGCCGCATGCTCTTGCCTTGGTTGGCGCTAGAACCGCTGAGTTTCGGTCAAATAGGTTTCCGGTTTGACTCCGAGTCAACCAGATGGAGTCGCATCGAGGTCCCGACCCCGGACGGATCCAGACGCTTCGACTATCTTTCTCAGAGGGAGGCCCAACTCGTGACCATCAGGGACACAGGGAGTGCTGTCGTCCAGATCTGACACGATGAGCGTCTGACAGGCCCCACCTGTGTAGGTGCGTGGGGCCATAGATTTCCAGCTACGTGAGGACATCCACGCCCTTCGTACCCAGGTCGAGCGTAATGCTGCCACAAGACACCCCGCCCAAGTCGCAGCTACGTCAAGACAAGCTGCGTGGTGCCGAGACGGCCCGCAATCAACGTCTTGGACGCTTTCGAAGGACGTGCGCCCGCGCTCGAGCCCGTAGCCTTTCAGGGCGAGAAGCAGTTTCTTGAATGATAGACCGCGCTGCCTGAATGGCGTGCTGTACGGGCTAAGACCGATCAGCTGGACACCCCGACTTCGGTTTACGATTTCGCCTCCCTCGAAATTACCTTCTCGCCGCCGCCCGACCGGCGCCCTAGGTTTTGGGCCCCCGCGCTCGCGCCAGAGATTGGCTGACTCCGGAGTCCGAGGCGCCCGCCTCCCCCGCCGATTGGCGCGCCTCAGTGCAGCGATGCTGTGGCGGCCCCGCAGGGATGAGGCCCGCGCCGCGGGCGCCCCGAAGGCCCCAGCGGCCGCTATGCAGGCCATCCCTGACGGCTCTCTCGATTGGCGCGCGCGCCTGCAGCGAGGGCGTTGCGCCGCCGTTGGGCGGAGCTCGCGCCGTCGAGGGGCATCGTCGCGGGGCTGCTGCTGCGAGTCTCAACTGTTGCACCGTGTTCGTCGACACCTGCTCCCACCGATCCGCTCGCCCCTATTGGGTCTGGTGGGCCCCGTGCTCGGTGAAGCCACTTGCTTTCGGGGTTGGCGTCCCGTTCGGCAGAGCAGCCGCTGGATTGAACTTGACTCCTGGTCGTCTTCGAGGGCCCGGCGCTCCTGACTTTCACTTCGCTACAGAAGACGCTCCTTGCGTTCGCTGGCGAGGTAGGTGGCGCCAGGCGTCGTATGCTGACTGCTACCTTCAAGCTGCTGCTGCTGCTGCTGCTGCTGCTGCTGCTGCTGCTGCTGCTGCTGCTGCTGCTGCTGCTGCTGCTGCTGCTGCTGCTTCGACAGTCCGAGGCCGCCATGGCTCAGGTGCTGTTCGTCGCCTCTGGCAGCAGTCGCTTGCTTGCCTCCTTTCTGCTTGCCGGGTCGTCAGCCTGCTCAGTCCAACTTGCGGCCGCTCGCCAAGACCTTGTCACTTCGCAAGGGCTTCGAGCATGGGTACGGCTGCACCGGCTTTCGGCGGGCAGGAGTTTTCCTCCTGAGCGCGGCGCGTCGGCCCCCTCACGCTCGGCGGCAGGTCTGCCCCGCCGCCGCGCGCAGCGGCGCCGGCGCGCGCGCGCGGAGACCGCTCGCCAGGGTGGGGCGAGAGAATGATTATGATGATGCTGATGATGATGATGATGATGATGATGATGCTGATGCTGATGCTGATGCTGATGCTGATGCTGATGCTGATGCTGATGCTGATGCTGATGCTGATGCTGAGGATGATGAGGATGATGAGGATGATGATGATGAT